CTAATTATATCTCCAATTGTCTTGGAGGTGGTGGTAACGATCCTAGTATTAGGAATGACTAATTTTTGAGTATAGTAGAAAGAGTGTTGGAGGGCAGGATTATGAATTTTGCATGATTTTTACTAGAAGTGTTATTGGTTGTGTGTTTTTTGGCTTTGTTGATTTTGTAATCTTGCTTTTTAACATTGAGAATAAAATGATGTGGGTAATGGAGAAAATTTGAAAGTTTTCTCAATATATTTCTCTTCTTCATTTAGTTATTCTGGGTTGCATATCCTAAGGACTCTGAGGTAGAATCCTATGACTACCTCAGAGCCCTTAAGCCCTTAACCTAAAACATTATAATACATTGTTATCTTTCTTTGAATCCATTCTTAAAGAATCTAACTTATATCTAATACAAGGAATGTATTCTTAACGAGGTCAGCAATAAATTAGAATCTTGTGACACCCTGCAGCATGAGTTGACTGCACAAAGGTAAAGATGGAACTCACTCTAGACAGACACGCATACACAAATTATGAATACAAGTTACCATCTGATGTCCACTTAGACATACAAAAATCTTCACAAACGTACATACACATAGTTATCTAGGGTTTTAAGACATGTGACTTGTGTCTGACCAATGAGAACTATTTGTTCTTTATTTTATCATATGTGTGTGTGTGTGTGTGTGTGTGTGTAGATTTTTTTTTTTTGATAATTTCACCCCAAGCAAGGCGATAATGCCACTAAGATGCAAGGGGGTTACTCGGAGTGAAAGATAATGAGAATACTTTAGTGAGGAGAAAGGACAATAAAAGAAAATTTCAGGAAGGCAGAAGATGGCGATTGACATTGCATTTAAATTTTTGAACTTTGTAGGTGACAGGGAAGTAAGAACATGGAAGAGAGTTTCACAGATGAGCAAAGAAACTATTAGAGTAGAACTGACAGTTGCTAGTTCAGCAGTAAAATACTTGCCAGTTTAGTAGCATGCTTAAATTCACGCAGTCAAAGCACTAAGGATAAAAGTAACATTATTCTTCTTTTATGTGCTGTATCCCTTCAGGACGTAGGCAATCAAGTCCTCCACATCTTTCTGTCCCTTGTAGCCCTTAATACGTTTTGTCTTTTTGTTATTTCTCCCAAACCATGTTCTACCATCCTTTTGCTCAAGCTCATCAAGTATGTTATGCACTGCTTTTCTGATGTTAAATATAAGTTTCCTTTTTGTTTCATTTTCTTGTTGTTGCTCACATGTTTGGTCCATGGTATCGTCAGCATCTTTTTGTTGCTTCAAGCCACTTCATCTCAGAGACCCTTAATTTAAACATCAAGAAATACACTGTAAACTTGTTTAGTGCAATTGAAGGTATAGCCAGGGAGAGCAGACACCCAGTGCTAAGGTTGACATTTATATATTTAGTTATTGGTTCTTCACCCAAAAGTGCTGATTGATGCGTGATGCATACTTGCCTATTGGTCCCAATCACTCTTTTATGCATATTTTCGTCTTCCTCCAAGACCCAAGGTGGCTGTTTACAGAAAAGTTTTGACAAGATACTTACATAGAACATATTTTGAAAAGCCGAAACATATAAAATACTTGCTCTACTACCAAAAAAATTAGGTTTATGTTTCAAAAAGATTTTACGTCCTTAGAGTAAACTGCGTTGGAGTTTAAGAAGCTGTAAAAAAAAACAAAAACAAAAAAAAAAACAATTATACACATAATCAGGAGGCAACTTCAACATGGTGTATCGGTTAGCAATCTTGTCCCGCTAGATCAGTGCAGTGAGTTCAGTCCTCACTGGGTACTCCATAATTATGGCCTGGTGTCACATCTAGGCTATGCCTAGTAAATTGCTATATTCAGACTCAGGAAGAGATATCTAAAATTTCTTAGACATATTGAGGAAGGAGGGCTTGGAAAACTTAACACTCACAGCACATACTGAGGATAAATGGGGGAGGGGGCAGCTTTAGCAAAGGGAGAAAAACTTCTAAGGAACACAAGGGATAGGAAGTTGTAGAGAGCCACGATCACCTAAGTCCTGAAAGGACACAGCACATAGAAGAAGTAATTATGAGTTCAATCCTTCGGCTCAGTGGAAAAAAAGCAAGCAATAAGTGAGCAGTATTAAATAAGAACAAGATGGAATATCACTCAAGATGGAGGCTAGAATGTGTGGGGGGGATGAGCCTTAGAAAAGTAAGAAAAACTTCTAAGGAACACAAGGGATAGAAAATTGTGGAGTGCCATGATCACCCATATCCTGAAGGGATATGGTACATAGAAGAATAACTGGTATATGAAAGATAAACTTACTTGCATTATTTACATTATTTGGACTGTTATCCTCATCTCCATTGCTATATTCACAACGTTTTGGCCTTTGTACACGCTAGCCTTCTTCAGGTGATTGGAATTTCGAACCGAACACTTTATTTCGTTCACTAAGATTACACAAGCTGCATATTCAAGCTTACAGCACATGGTATTCCCAAGTAGTCACTCATCTAGATATGAAACAAGATGTTGTTTAACTTCAATTTAACCTATGGAGTTAGATTTCTCTCATTCTGCTGACCATGTTTAGGGATATTTCATCTAATTCTTACTTTTAGTACTGCTTAGTCAATGGTCATCCATTTCTACTGTGTCCAAGTCTGCACTGTCCAGTTAAGGATTGACTTCACAATTTCTATGTGTCAAATTCATGAACCATAGGACTTGTGCATTAAATGGTGCATGAATTTAGTGGTATAGTAATTTTGAGTTCAATGCCTGGGCTGGGTAGTGTAGAGTTGGACATAATGGAAATGGGTGAGCAAGACAAGATATCCTGAGACATGGTCAGCACAATGAAGACAATCTACTGAACCATAGATTAAATAAAGTGTTTAGTTCAAAATACCCTGGGAGCTTAGCTGGATAGATATGCACTTGAATAATGACATGCACAACTGCCGAAACTTTGTGATAACATCAACAAAGATGAGGACTCTTCATCTGAGAAATTCAGATTACCAATTGACAAAATCTCATCATGAATTATTATAGAAATCATCTCACCCCACCCAGAAAGTTGATAAGGGGTTATGAGGGCACAAGGGGTTACTGGGAGTATAAGAGAGTGAGAAAACATTAGTGAAAAGAAAGGACAATAAAAGAACAGGTTTCAGGAAGACATTAGATAGCAATTGGTGTTACATTTAAATTTTTGAAGATTATATGTGGCAAGGAAGCAGAAAGGAGTTCCACAAGTGAGAAGTGTATGAAAAGAAGCTGTTTGAATAGAAGAGACAGTAAAGTGGTGAAATATAGTTGTCAGTCTGGCAGCATGCTTAAATTCATGCAGTTGAAACAACAAAGAGGAAGGCTCATCAGAACAATTGCGATGTATTTATAGAAAAGACAGAGGGAAGACATGTTATGTTGGTGAGAAAGTGATTGAAGTTACGTCCTGAGTAAGACAATAAATTAGATCTGTGTCCTGAGTAAGACGATTAACTACATCCAAGAGCAAGGCCTCTGATCAGGAGGTTTTGATGAGCGTGGAATCAGCTCTTAACTGCTGGTGTTCCCAGGTCCACCCTGACCTGGGGTAGCAGCACCTGTTAGGGTCCCAGCTATGGGTAAATAGTTAACCCCCAAACTGGGGTCAAAACACTATGAAAGTCTAAAAATAGGTTTTAATACCAGAAATAATTTGTAAAAAAATTATTACCAACAATACAGTTTGAAAAAAAAATATTACCAGCAATAAAAATTTTTTCGACATTAAATAACCCATTGAAGTTAGTATGTCATAAAACAAAACAAACCAAGCCAAACTGTGGCTGAAGTTAAGATGCCAGGTCAGAATCAATTACACTATAGACCCTTCTTTGAATTTTGTCAAGAATCTCTGAGTTGGCAGCAAGATTTCATTAACTTACAGATGAAATGGCAAGATATAACCGTAAGTTCTATGCTAACAGTTTCTTCTATCGCACTTCTTGCTTGTGGAACTCTTTTGGCTTCTTGCTTTCCAGTCAACTTTGTTCTTCAAAAATTTAAATGCAACATTAATCATTGTCTACTGTCTTAATTACTCTTCTATAATTCTTGCTCCTTAGTAATGTTTCTCTTTTTTCTTATTCTTTCACAGTCAGTAACCCATTGTGTCTTAGTAGCTTTACTGCCTTGCAAGGGGTGAAAAGATTGGAAAAAAAAAGTACCAATGTTTTTTAAATACTTTTTTTACCCTGTTGAAGAATGATCTTCAGAATAAGTCTTAGGTGATAGAGGAACTTTTTGTAACAATAGGTGGTATAATAGAAAGTTACACCATATTAGTGACATAGACTTTGGTGCTTCTAAGAGAATTGCTGCTGATAATTTGTGGTGAAGGCAACCATAGTTGTCTCTTCCTTGAACTACTAGTCTATAAAAGAAATGGTTGAACCTCACTTATGGGTTGTAGTCGAACTGCATTGAATATAAGCTTCACCAAAAGCTTAAATGTTTTTCTTTACATATGCTTTAACAATTTGTCATTGACTTTCCTGGTTTAAGGTCTGTGGGTTTAGTGCAAAGGTTAATAAGTCAGGAAGAGAAATTTGTGAGCAGAGTTCAAATCCTGACCAAGTTTAATGCATTCACTTTTGCACAGTATAAATCTACCAACTATAGGTTAAATAGTGGAGTTGACTGTGCTCTCTTGCCTTAGGTGGTAACCAAGTCTAAAAAAAAAAAAAAAGAATTTAAAACCAGTCTGAAGAGAGATCATCTGATGAAGCTGATCTTGTCCTAGACACACCACTGTTGCTCTAACTGTAGAGTATAATATCTGTGACAAGTTTGTTAGTGGTTGGGGATTTTCCAGGCAAGTAATTAAAAGCACACAAACTTGTAACTAACCTTTTTTGATTGTACTTCAATTACACTAATTCAGATACAGAAATATATTTGAAAAAAAGAAAAAAGAAAACACAGTAAGAATTGAATGTTGCTGTAACTTTTCTTTACCTATATAAAAGTCCTTTCTCCAAGTTTCGATAAAGCTCTGTGTTATACAGGTACCGCATGTCAGCCTGGGTTCCAACGAGGACAATTGGTGTTGTTGGGCAATATTTTCGGATCTCGGGCACCCAAACCTTCTTCACGTTAACTAGTGATGACGGTTTGACGACGCTAAAGCACAAAAGTACAATGTCTGCCCTGAAATAGTAAGACAAAATTAAGTAATAATAATAATAATAATAATAAAAGGAATTAAAAAATACATCATAAGCTCTGGAATTAAAGTGTAATATAACAATTATGAAATACAAGTGTAGTATTTGTCTCACACTAGATCATATTAGAATAGATTTTGCAATCAGCTGGTGGTGGTCCTGAGGTTACCTCCTAGATACTAAGTGCAAATTCATGTGACCAGCCCAGCTGCACTTGGATTGCAAGTGTGGGAAAGACTTATTAAAGGAGATATATAAACACCTATCCTTGAGGAGGAGTGGCTTCACTTTATTGTTTTTTTTTTGTTTTTTTTTTAAGAAGATTCACATTTCAGATTAGAGGCTCAGTTCTCCTCACACACACTGGCCGAGGATAAGTGACAAAATCTAGAGTTGAATAAAAAGCAATGTTACTTATGAGAGATTAAGACAGTGCCATCATTACACATCATTATCCTTATCATTCCCATGACCAGATGTGGCCATAGGGCTGTTGCATAGTTGAGCACCTGAACATTTCCCTCCACATAACTTGGTCATAGACACAAACACATAGCCATTGGTTCAACCTGCCTTGGATGTTAACTTCAGTTTAGGAAGCCTCTCGCCCAGCGATGCGGTGTCATCACTGTGCTGTCTGTTTACACAGATATGGAACCCAGCTGTGCAAAAACACTGTTGACCCTATAAGGAAATACTGTTTTTAATCTTGCTACCTGTCTATTCACCCTCCTCACCAGAAAAACCTGGTGAGGGAATAGGTTTAGTGGCATAATGACTACTCATTAAATAAATTGAACTAGATATTGTGAATATAGGAGTCAAATTTAGCAAACAAAAATAATTACTGTATATACTCACATATGATGTGACTTTTGAAGATTTAATTTTTAAGCTAATTTTAGGGGGGTCACATCATGTATGGGATATAAAATTAGTGTATGTACTGCTGGTTTGGCTATGCCATTGACCATTTACTGTTGTCAAATTAGGTTCAAAATTAGGCCTTCAAAAGTTGCATGATATGCAAATATATACGACATACAAATATATCAAATATAACAGTTTTTTTTTGTTTTTTTTTAAGCATTACGCCCTGAGCAGGGCGTGAAGCCACTAGGATGCAGGGGGTTGCAGAAGATTTGGAGCAAGAGCAGATAGGAGTGATAGTAGAAAGGATGAGGAGAGGGATATTGGATAGATCAAGGTAACTGGAGATGTCAATTGACATTACATTTGAGTAGTTGGAGATTATAGCTCTCAGGGAAACAGTAATTGGGAAGGGTGTTCCACAGGCGATAGGTGCGAGGTATGAAGCTATTGGAGTAGAAAAGATGGCTACATTTAAAAGTTTCTACAGTGTAAGGGTGGGAGCGGGATGCCAGCCTCGTAGGGTGCTTGATTTCATGGAGTCTGGGAACCAGTGAAAGCAGCTCATTGGAGCAATTACCATGAAAGTATTTGTAGAAAAGACAGACAGAGACGATGGCGCATCTGTGAGAGAGTGACTGTAGACGAGACGCCAGATCAAGGCCAATTATATTACATATCCGTCTCTGGATCTTGTCAAGAACTCCGAGGTAAACAGAAGGTGCACCAGACCATTTATTGCAGCAATACTCCATGCAAGGGCGAATGGTTGATTTGTATATTTGAAGTATCGATTCCGGGGCGAAAAATTTCCTGGCGCAGTTAAGACAAAATTAATAAGTACACTATTGATACTGATTCAAATTATAAAATCAGTTTAGTTTGCTATGCAATGTTAAATCAGTTGATATGTTAGGTCTTAGTACTGTCAAAATGGTAGGATAAATTATTTTAGTGTATAATGACTTAGTAATCTCCAAGTATTTTAAGCATGAATCCTGATTTATATTTTTGTTTTTGCTATCTTTTTCCAAAATTAAGAAACTTTTCGATATTTATGTTTATTTACGTACTATTTCGTAATTTGTTTCGCTTTTTAGTTTTTGTTGACGTTATGTTTATATATTTAAAAAAAGAAATGTTAATTTTTTTGGAGCTTCTAAAACATGCAATGTATATAATATTTATATATGTACATTATATATATTACAAAGGTTGTCATAGCTGGGGTGGGGTGATAGTGGGGACAAGCTCTCACTGTCTATAAAATACTTCCGTGGCATGTGTCTCAAATAGCCTCTGGCAACTAAGTTCACTTCTAAGGTGGAGAATGGGCGCAGACAGAAAACTAGCGCCCCATAACCGGCTGCTTCTGTTAGATGGAGCTCGACAACCCAGGAAAGATCTGATCACTGGTCAAAAGTGGTTGTTTTTGATATAACTTGCTTTAGTTTACATTCCCCGTGAGGAGACAAGTTCTTAAAGCTTTTTCTTTTGTTTCTAGTTCTCAACTTAGTTATATTTTAAGATCTAAATATCGAACATATATTTTACTAAAATATTTAATTTTCCATGACATTAAAGAACAGAAATGAACTGGATGTTTAGCCATTGAGTGTTTCTTCACTTAATTTCCGTTTCAAAACTTATTTTCGAATTTTCGGGGAAAGGTGCTGACTAGACATACCCGATAATGCATTTTAAGGTGTTAATTAATATATCATATTTTCTGCTTGATGTGACTTTGTTATATTTCTATATATTAATAAACAATGAAAATAAAAGAATATTGTCTTTCATTAAGAATGAAGAGAGAAACAAATATGGCCGACATATCAAATACCTTTTGTAAACAATTGTTATCGACATCTGCCTACTTTGTGTTTCATTATCTATAGTGCTGAGTGCATGCTGCAACCTTACTGTTTATAAGAGGTTTTTTAAGCTGAGTAAAAATTTCTGATAACGTTTACTTGTGTGTAATATAACCCCCTTTTCTTGCCTTTAATTTTTGTTCAAAATCTCTTGAATTATACTCAATAAAATACGGTATTATAATTTCACACTGGTAAACTGCATTAGGAATGCTTTTTCATACTTTCTCTCTCACACACTCCTCTCTCTGTTTGTCTACTTTCTTTTCTCTCTCCCTCACACACCCTCTCTCTCTTTCTGTTCTCTTAATTTCTTAATTTTTGGGGAGTTCTAAAATACATAATGTATGCAATGTTTGTATACATACATTATATATGTCCCAAAGATTGTTATAGCTGATGGGGGGGTGATAGTGGAGACAGGCTCTCATTGCTTATAAAATGTTTTTATGGCATGTGTCTTAAATAGCCTCTGACAACTAAGTTCAACTCCAAGCTGGATATTTGGGAGGAGGTGGACAACTGGCAGATCATAACCAGCTGCTTAAGGGAGATAGAAATTGAGACATTATCTCCAGATAAATTCCCAACAGGGGTTAAAGAGCTCATATCTGCCTATTAGATCACGTACTAGCATAACCAACTATTAGATTACGTACTAGCATAACCATCTATTAGATTACGTACTAGCATAACCATCTGTGGGGAAAATAGCAATGTGAGGAGGGTTTAAGAGCTACAATCAGAAATCTTTGGTTGTAATTAAAATAAGAAAAGTAAAAATAAATAACAAACACATGGATACTTAAATAATTTAAATCAAATTACAAACAAAACAAAATAAAGCTAAAAATAAATTAAATAATTAACATAAATAACCATCACATTTATATTACAATAATCATTAATAATATTTCCATTGATTTTGTAATATTCAACAAATATAAAAACAAAAATGTTTAACAGTTGCTGAAAAATATAAAATGAATCTATAATTAATGAAGTAAACCAATAAGTTTGTATATTACGAATTATGTAATACTTAGAAATTTGCAATAATGATGAAATTACATACATACACACACACACTATATATATATATATATATATATATATATATATATATATATATATATATATATCAATGGTGATTCCAGGGTTGGGCTTGTCATGCTCTGTCTGAGCGAGTCAACATTCAAGAATATCTATTTATAGCGACAAAAAATCTTTTGTAATGCGTTGTTTTCATTTTTGATTTCAGCTGGATCCCAAATTAATGTTTTAAAAATATTGACTGAAATACATTTTGTTGAAATTGTTCATAAGAAAGAAAGGAGAAAGAAAGAAAAGAGAAAGAAATAAAGAAAGAAAGAAATAAAGGAGAAAGAAAGAAAGAAAGAAAGAAAGAAAGAAAGAAAGAAAGAAAGAAAGAAGAAAGAAAGAAAGAAGAAAGAAAGAAAGAAAGGAGAAAGAAAGGAGAAAGAAAGAAATGTTTATATTTCTAGAATTATTGCAATTAATATTAAAATACCAAAATGTTTTTTTTAGTTTATGCAGAGATTTTTAAAAATTATATATTTTAGTTAGAGAGTAACTGAATCATTTTAGCATTTAGTTATACCAATCATATATTTTGTTAAAGATTGTAATGAACCAAACAAACATTGCTGACCTAGAGTCACCACACACACACACACACACACACACATATATATATATATATGAAATATGGCAAAGTGGGAAAAAGTTTTCATGTAACTCATTTCATTCTTCAGACTAAAGTGATGTTCATGTTGATGTGACAACACATGTGCACGAATATAGTCCCAATTTAATGTAAAAATACATTTGATAGTTGACAAGAAATATGTATTGAATCTATAATTAATCAAGTAAAGGAAAGGCACAGTGGAATAATGGTTAGCAGCTCAGATTGAGGAATTGAAGAGCTAAGTTCAAATTCCAGTTAAATCCATTACATTCACTTATGTGCTAATATCCTTGGGAAAGGTATGAATCCTCTTCTTCTCCTCCCAGCTATGGGTAAATAGTAGGACAGACCGGGTTCTATAGCCTTGGGTGGCAATTGTTCTAGGAGTAGGACAATTCTGAATTCAAAATCTGATCCTCTAAGTTGGTGGTTGTGCAGTAGGCTAACAAATTACTCATTTAAAAACTGGCTTGTTATAGAAACCGCAATGATACCTCAAGGAATTTAAAGGCATAATATATAATTAAGTAATTTAAAAAATAATTAATAAGTTTGTATACTGCAAATTATGCAATATATAGAAATTTGAAATAATGATGAAATTATATATATATATATATATATATACTAGACTATTGTTCAAAAGTTTGAAAGGACCCCTGGTAATTTAAAAAAAAAAAAATTATAGTTTTGTACTTTAACTAAGAGAAAATTATTATACATGGTTAAAAAAGTGAGACGATTTTTTTATTAGAAATTTCATTATGACAAACAGAAAAAAAAAATTTCATGATTGAATTTTGCTCCTGTCAAAATATCCTCCTTTAGCCTTAATTACTGCAGCACAAACTTTTGGCATTTGTTGCAAAAGTTTCTCAAAGTACAAGTTTGATAATTGATTCCATTCTTTTTTCAATGACTCTAAGAGTTCTTTTTCATTTTTGAGATAGAAAGGTTCCACTCTTCTGTCAAGTTCATCCTGTGCTAATTCTGGAGGTGACTTCAAACTTTTGAACTATAGTGTATGGTGGACTTTCTTGTTGTGGATAACAAATGAAGGCTCAATAAAATAAAGAGGTGCTCAACCTCTATGGACCTGCAGGTGTTTCTCAAACTTTTAGACAGAATATGTGATTGACGCATTTTGCTAAAGTGGTTGAAGATCAATTACTACATGTTTCCATGAGTGGACAGCAAGGTCTGTTTTAGTGCATGTGACAAAACCAAAATGACAGGTAAGGAGCAACTAACTGCCAACTTTTTTTTTAATATTTGCATGCAGTTGATCCAGATGTTCAAGTCAGTCTCACTCAAACCTTTCTGAACAATAAATATTAACATTTTCAGACAAACTGAATTGTATATTAATATTTTTTTGTTTTATTATTTTAATTAGGTTCCTTGACTAGTTTTGGCCAGCATGGCCATCATCATGAAAAAAAATTCCTGCTTGTTAGTAGAAGTGAACTACAGGAGTGAATGACTGTTACTGAATAATGTGAATGACTGTTTTTTGAATAAAGTGAGCTGTAGTTTTCATTTGTTTTTATCGTTAATTTTGGTTAGTCCTTGTGTTGGTCAAACGGCCTCTTTCAAGTTTTTTAAGATAGAGAATGGGAGATTCTTGACTTTAAGAATTCCCTCCTTGGTCATTTTGACAGCTTTATTGGTTGCTGAGAATGGGATATGTGTGTTAAGTGTATGTTATCTTTTATTTCTTTGGGAGTGTGTATGATGTGTGTATGTGTATATATTAGTATGAGTGTGTGTATAAGTGTGAGACCTCAACACCTCTACAAGCATGTCTGTCTGGGTGAGAAATGTGGATAGAGCTTGATTTATCAGGTTATATATTTTCTATATATGTTGTTCAATTTGTGGACATACATATGTGTGTGTGTATATATATATATATATATATATATATATATATATATATATATGTATGTATATGTTTAAATATAGAGAAAAAAATTAACTGGTTCTTAATTAAAACTTTGAGAGGTTTCTAACAAAATTCCTGCAAGAATTTCCAATTTGAAAGTCAGAATTACAGAAAGACAAAAGTATAAATATGGGATCTGATAAGATGTTCAATATATATACCAAACATCTGGCCCTGATGAGTGTTTTGGCACAAAGTATTTGATCTGACATTGTTCAGTTCATACTTTTCTTGGTAAGTAAAAAAGATTCTCTCTCCCCTTTTTTCTTCCATTTTTCTTCATCATCTACAGAAGGTAAGACTCATGTCGATGCTTGCTGCTACATTTCAGAGCAAAAGTGAAAAGTGTTTATTTTCCTATCCTTTTATAGTCCTAGTAGGCAGTGTGGCAGACAAGGTGGCAATAATTCCCACAACACTTAAGAAATAAAAAAAAAGTAATTTAAGAAGTGATTTATGTATTGGTAAACCATATAATATAAAGCATATTAATAATAAAACTGTAATAATAATTATATAATAATAATATTGTTTATCACAGAAGAAATACTTTTGTGTAGAAGAGAACCAGACCAACATGAAAAAAGACCTTGACTTGAATGTGTCTGGTACAAGTAAGAGTTATGTTCTGGATAAATAGCAGTTTACAGTTCAACATAGATGGGAGTTGCTGCTAAATTTGCATGGCACTTTATCTATGGTGATACTTGGTAGCCAACAAATCATAGCCAATCTGTGGCCATGAGATTTTTTCATGTTGGAAACTTGTTTGGTACTGACAGTTGGAAGTGCACTACTTGAACTTGGGACAGTTCTTTTTTTTTTTTTTATACACCATAGATTTACAACTATTTTCCCAAACCATAAAATTGCAACTATTTCCCTACACCATGGATTTATGATTACTTCCCTACAACATGGATTTATGACTATTTCCCCACACCATGGATTTGCGAATATTTCCCTGCACCATGGATTTGCAACTATTTCCTCGCACCATGGATTTGCAGCTATTTCCTTGTATCATGGATCTGCAATGATTTTCCCGCTCCATGGATTTGTGACTATTCTCTTGCATCATGGATTTGTGACTATTTCCCTGCACCATGGATTCGCAACTATTTCGCCACACCATGGATTTGCAACTATTTCCCCACACCATGGATTTGCAACTATTTCCTTGTATCATGGATCTGCAACGATTTTCCCGCTCCATGGATTTGTGACTATTCTCTCGCATCATGGATTTGTGACTGTTTCCCTGTACCATGGATTTGCAACTATTTCCCCACACCATGGATTTGCAATATTTTCCTGCACCATAGATTTGCAATTATTTTCCTGCACCATGAATTTGTGGCTACCCAAATTTGTGTCTATTCATTTTTTTGTACTTTGTCTTGTTAATATCTATTTTCATAGACTATTTTCTGAATATGCTTATTAGTAATAAATCTTATATCTTAGAATCTTTTTGAGCAAAATTATATCTATGTAGACCAGGCACCAGGCATGGGCAACCTTTTTTTTCAAGCAGTGGGACACATGATCTATGGTTCATCACAAAGTAGGCCACACTACTAAAAAAATTCTATGTCGTCTATTCTATATTAGGTACCTCAGATACTTTCATTGCAGAAGACCATATGCATAAGCATATACCTTAGAAATGGTGAATTTTTGTTTTTTTTTTTTTCTTTAGAGAAAAGATTTTTCTATAATTAAAAACTTCAAGTCTAGGTTAAATATTATTACTGATGCGATTTATTTGTAATTTATTTATCTGAAAATAAAAAGCATATTTCTTCTCCAGAGAAAAAATTATTATGAATATTTTCTGTTTCAAAAGATGTTTACACATATGATCTTCCTTAGTGAAAATCACCAATGGTTTAAAACGATGAAAACATTACTTTCACTGAGTGTTTACACAATTCAAGAAACATTGTACTTAATGTTTATGTACATGGTTATGTATGAGAGAGTGTTTGTGAGTGAACAAGTGAGAATGAAACAAAATAAAATTTTAAGAAACGTTATTTTCTTTATGAAATTAAGTGCACCCTTCATAAGACCAAACAGACTGCAGTTTTCCCATGACTGATATAGACAATTATGCAGTAGTATGCAGAAGTAGGGTAGAGAGTGTGATGGCCTCGGGCATCCATATTGGGAGGGTATCCAATCAGAGAGTGAAATAAAAATTTAGTTTATATTTAACTTAAATAAAGTGTTTATTTCATGTTTCATCTGTTTTTACATATTTAAAATGTCTTCATATTTCTTAGTACTAGGCCGTATAGGACCCCCTACCTACTTGAGTCTAAGGGGCATACAATCAGGGAGTTGTTTGGTGATGTCTGGGGTCATCAACAAACCTCTGCACATCACTGCAATTATGAAATAGTATCTACTGTAACATTTAATTACTTTGAATTCACATGTCTTACAAAGTTGCAAAATAGGCCAATCATTGAAACAAAAAAAAAATCTTTTTTTTTTTAAATTATTGTCATGATAATTCAGTTTTCTATAAAACAGGTAAAAATGTGGCCCTACCTGCCATATGCAAAATGCCTGTCTTTATCATGGTAACCAAATGTATCCCATAATCGCAAAGAGACACATGCACCATCTACTTCTATCCAAGATCGTTCCAAAACCTATCAGAAAGAAAGAAAAAAAAAAAAAATTCGCATAAATATTTGGCAGTAATAAAATGTTAAGAAAGCATTTATAATCATCATCAGTCTCATAACTAGGTGTGGTTGGGAGAGTTACTGTGCAGTGGAACATCTGACCAGCTCCCTCCATGTGTCTTGGGTACATGCCAAGTTTTTGTGAAATGACTTGTGATGTTGTCAGTCCATTTTCTTTTTTACTCTACCTGTCTCTCCTTTTGTTTAAGGTGGCACTGTGGAGGTTAACAAGGTTTGTGTGTATTTTTAGGTGAATGTGCATGTTCAATATATAAACAAAGAAGATAGAAGAAGCATACAAAAATCCCCAAGTTTCTGCTACAGACGTTTATTTCTTTTATGTTGACTGTATGGAAACAAAGTGGACCAGGGAAGCTAACATTCCCCAGTGGGAATGCAAGATAGTAGAAATTTCTAGGACACAAAGAGGGCTTTGAAAATTTGATACTCACAGGACTGATTGAACTCAAGAGAAACAGAGGCAAACAACACATAACCTACCAAGAAAACTTGGGTAAATAGATGACGGCACAAGATTTAGAAGATTGCGGATGTTAACAAGCTTGTTGGCTTTGTGTGTATTTTTAGATGAAGGTGCAAGATCAATATATAAAAAAAGAAGATAGAAGAAGCATACAAAAATCCCTGAATTTCTGCTATGGATATTTCTTTCTTTTATGTTGACTGTATGGAAATAAAGTGAAATATCTCTTGAGTATGTTCGTTTTCCTTTTTGATTCTGAAATAATTCATGGGAAGTAAGGATATGAACGGGTAAAGATGGTCAAGCTCAAGTCAGACTCATGCTGAGTTGAGATGACCAAATCTCTACTTCATGAGTAGGGCTACAGAAAACATGTCTGAATGATCTTGTTGGGAAGTGGAAAGAGGAAGATTTAGTCCTTTCCAGAAGTGGGGTCATAAAATCACACATGTAACCAGAAATCCTTTCTAGTTTCTTTATAACTTGCATCATGGGAAAATTATTTTTTTTTTATTCTTTATTATTTTATTTATTGGTTTTTATTTCATTTTCCCACAGCACCTTGTCAGATGGCAGTGGAAATATTGTTGGCTTTTATGACATGTCCATACCATTTCAACTTTCCCTTTTTGATGGTGGTTATAAGGTCTCCCAATAGGCCTGTTTCTTGTCTGATGGTGTCTTGCACTGTGTCATTTGTGATGAGGTCTATGTAAGAGATACCTAGGATGGTTCTGCAGCATCTCATTTCAAATGCTTGGATTCTTGGCTCTAATTCTGCTGTTAATGTCCAATATTTACAGGCATGCATTAAGATTGGTTTCGTTTAGTTGTTCTTGTTTAGCAGCATATCAACACCTCTATGGGTAATTTCTTGCCGAAATCAAATTATGAAAATTCAAACTTTATAATTAATTCAAGATGATGACATTATTTCATGATTAAATTTTGACTAATTATCAGCATTTTTTTTTTTTTACAAAATTATCTTACAAAATAATCAAATGAGGAGTGAAAACTTGTTTCTCCTTACAAAATTTTTTTTTTTATACAATGTATAACATGTTTTCAATTCTACTGTGAAATGTAAGATTGGCCATTCTACTGTGAAATGTATGATTCGCCATTCTACTGTGAAATGTATGATTCGCCATTCTACTGTGAAATGTATGATTGGTCATCCTACTGTGCAATGGATTGTTGGTCATTCTACTATAAAATGGATTGTCCATTCTACTATAAAACACTTTGCTGGTCATATTGCTATAAAAAATTTATTGCTAGTCATTTTGTTATAAAATGTATTGTTAATAATTCTACTATAAAATATACTGTTGGTCATTTTATTATAAAATGTATTGTTGGTAACTTACTACAAAAATGTATTTATATACTTTTCTAGTGTTTTAATTTTTCTTTAGTAGTTCACTATTTGCTCAATGCTGGGACCCTAATGCTACCACCACAGGTCAGGGTAGACCTGAGAACAGCAAAAGTGGCTCCATGCTCCTCAAATCCTACATTCTCCTGATCAGAGGCCTTGCTGTCAGATGTAATTTATCATTATATCCAAGATAAAGGATTAATGTGAAGAGGAATGAAGAACATACTAGCTCTAATGTAGTGATTAGGTATATATATATATATATATATATATATATATATATATATATATGTAAAATTGTGTATCTGGGAAGCAATCCTTCTTTTATACAAGTTTCATTAAAGACTAATGACAAAGTATTGCAGTTAAGATTTCTATTTAATTTTTCTTGTGTTCTAATAATTTTCCTTTTCGCTGGACATAAATTATGTAGAAATTGTTTGAATGTTTGTATATTCAAGTGCTTTCGGCTATACTTTTAGCCATTATCAAGGATGCACTTGTAACTAAATCTATGGATTGTTTTATGTATGTATCTAGAGTTATATGAATATTGATTTTCCAAACACAGTCAGTACATTGTGGCTGTGTTCATAGTTGATATTATTGAGTATTGAATTTTTTTTTTCTAATAATGCTTCTATTATTTTTAGCCTTTTTTTTTAATGGAGAAATTGTTTTGCCTGAAACTGGCCCATTGCACAAAAAATTGGAGGCCACTGATCTAAATGATATTTATAAACTATAATTTTTGAAATGTGAAATCTCATTGAAATATGTTGGCAAATCTCCAAGCTTTCATCTGAAAATCAAGAAATACGAACTTTAAGCAAAATGATGTATGGAAAAAAAGAAAGAAAAAAAAGAAAAGAAAAGAAAAGAAAAACAAGAAAAAAGAAAAGAAAAAAAGAAAAAAGAAAAGAAAAAAAGAAAAGAAAAGAAAAAAGAAAAAAGAAAAGAAAAAAGAAAAGAAAAAAAGATAAAGAAAAGAAAAAGAAAAGGAAAAAGAAAAGAAAAGAAAAAAGAAAAGAAAAAAAGAAAAAAAGAAAAAAGAAAAGAAAAGAAAAGAAAAAAAAAGAATGGTGTCATTTTAAACTGATGGTAGAATTATATAGATTTAGTAGAAATAAAAGGTAAAAACTCACCTCACGGTCAGTGCGGTAATGATCAATTGCCCAGACAGTAGCTACATGAGTCTTGACCAATTGGCTGAGGCAGTACTTGACCCCACATGCCCATGCACAAATCAGGCAGGTCTTGCCCACTCCTGGATCACCAACAATGACGCACTTCACAAATTCAGCTTGGCTGTTTTGCTTGACCATCTTGACTGACTGTGGTCAGGGCATAGGGGATAGAGCCACAACTTGACACATCTGAAAAGACATGATTTTTTTATAGATTTTGGTAATCATATATCCCAAGATAGATGCACGATTCTAATATTTCTGCAATGATAAAATAGAAAATTAAAAGCCCAGGTACTCTTATAACTTCTTCACTGTGCTCTGTCCCTTTAGAATATTGGTGATCATAGCTCTCCACAATTTCCTGTCCTTTGTAGCTATTAATAAGTTTTGTTGTTTTGTTATCTCTCCTGAACCCTGTTCTGTCATCTACTTACTCAACCTCGCTGGGTAGATTATGCATTGTTTTCCTCTATCCTCTATTGTCTTCACTCTGTCCTGTGAGTATCAAATTTTCCAAGCTCTTTTTCCTCATTATGTGCCTTAGAAATTTCAACTCTCTCTTTCTGTACAGTGTGTAGAAGAAATACTTCCCAAATAATGGTAATGTATTAGTTAAGACACCATTGCCACTAATGTCTTACTATTATATAGGATGTATTTTTGGTAGCTACATGTGAGAGGTATTTCTGCTACACTTTGTGTAAGTTTTTTCATTTTCTCTAAAATTTTGGTGCATGCTATTCACCGAATGGTTCTGTGGAACCATATTTCTGTTGCTTCAAGTCTCTTCTTTATATAGGTTGGTTGATTTTGTTTACCAGCATATCAACACCTCTATGGGTTATTTAATGCTGAAATCTAAATATTTTGAACACAATTTTATGGCTTCAACTAAATACATTTTGAATGCAGGTTGCATGCATTTAACTAAAGATAAAATGTATTGTTGGTAATTTTAGTATAAAAATGTAATATTTTATATATAAAAATGTAATATACTTTTATATAAAAATGTAATATAACTAATTTTAGTATAAAAATGTAATATTTATATATAAAAATGTAATATATTTTTTATATAAAATGTAATATAACTAATTTTAGTATAAAAATGTAATATTTTATATATAAAAATGTAATATATTTTTTATATAAAAATATAATATATTTTTTATATAAAAATGTAATATAACTATAATTTTAGTATAAAAATGTAATATTTTATATTTTTATAGTATTTTGCTTTTCTTTGGGTGTTCACTAATTGCCCATAGTAGGGACCCTAACAGGTGCTACCACCCAGGGTCAGGGTGGACCTAGGAACAACAACAATTAATAGGCAGTTACATGCTCCCCAAAATCTTCAATCTTCTCAGAAGCCTTGCTGCCGGATGTAGTATATCATCATACCCAGGACTTCTTTACATAGAAGAATTGATATTACATAACAGTCTAGTACTATTTTCTTTGTTTCTAATGGAATGTTCCCATTTCTTAATACTTTACTTAGCGTTTGAAAGGCAACTTATGCTGTCTCAATACGACTTTGGATTTCAGGTGTACATCATGTTGGTTGAGCAACATTGTACAAGTTGCAAGTTCAGAGAAATTGTAATCATCTGGATTTTCAGACACATGAAAACAAAAAAAGAGATTGGATGGAACACTTAAAACTGGGAGCAACCATAAGCATACAGGCAGAAAATGAAAACACAAAAAATAGAAAGGGGCAATGATTCATCTTCTCTCCAGATATATTCAACCTCTATAGTAAGGCTATTCTAAGATTTATTATTGGTGGGTACAATTTTATCGATATAAGATATGCAGAATACACTGTGTTAATGGATGACATAGAAAGAAAACTACAGGATCTCCTGGACAGGGTTGTAAAAGAAAGTGAGAAAAAATAAAGACTAACCATTAATTGTAAGAAGAGAGAAACTATAGTCATTAGCAAGAGAAAAAAGGCCAAGTGTAAGTTACAAAAGCCCTATCTGAAAGAACAATAAAAGGGGAGAAAGGAATAAAGCTTCCCCACCTCACTGAAATGTGGAAAGAAAGATACAGGACACTTTGCATCTGTATCTAATAATGGAATTTGTTTTTTTTTGTTTTTTTTAAATACAATGAATTAAGAATAGAAAATTATTTTTTCTTCTAATCGGTTCACTCCAACCAAGGTGATAAAGTCACTAAGATGCAAGGGAGGGGGGTTACTGAGGGAGAAAGAAAACGAAAAAACGTTAATGAGTAGAAAGGACAATAAAAAAAGCATGATTCAAGAAGACAGAAGATGGCAGTTAATGTTGCACTTAAATTTTTGAAGAGCGTAGGTGGCAGGGAAACAAGAAATCAGAAAGGGATTCCACATGTGAGAAGTGCGAGAAAAGAAACTATTAGAATAGAACTGACAGTTGCATTTAGCTATTTTAATAGTAAAACAGTGAGACCTAATTGCCAATCTAGTAAGTACACTTAAATTCATGTGGTTGAGGTACCAAAGAGGAAAGCTCATTATTTGTTCCTTATCCTATTTCTTTAGTAAGTAATTCAAACCTTGCCCTATCAATGCAGCCTCCATGGCTGATTTACTAAAAGTATGTTTTTGGCTATAGAAGCAGTTTCCTTGGTGGAAAAGATACAGGTTCAACTTCTGTTAGGAGCACAATCTTTCTTTAGTTGGACTCTCTCAATCTAGGCTAGTTATTAATTTCATGGTGTAAGAAAATATAAAAAACCCCAAAAAACAAGGATAGAAACTGAAATGTGTGTACCCATTAAAAATAATGTTTATAATAAGAAGAAATAACTATATGTCCGCAATTGGACTAATCCTCATAGATCATAACCACCTTATTCTTTGGACTTTCTTTTCTATGAGTGATTACCTGATTTTAAAACAAAGAAAAGAGGGCTCAACTGTTATGCAATATCAATCCTTCTATATAGTAATGAATGCTGGAAAATCGCCTCACAAATAACGACAAGACTTGATGCAACATAGATGTTCTATAAAAGGATGCTAAGAATACCATGGACACAACATGGGATAAACAAGAAAGTTTTAAGGAAAATGAGAACAAAAAGGACACTTCCAGTTTGAATCAAGAAAGATTCTCCCTGATGGTATAGCGTAGCAACTCAGAGTAGACACTGGGTTTCTTTTCAGGGTGCAACTTCTTCCAGTTAAATGCATGTGGCTTAAAAATAACTCTGGCCAGATTGCCATCTAAAAAATAAAGTAATGAAATTATTATAATAGTAGGAAAATTTTGTTTTGGTTGTAATCTACTACAGTAGACAAGTGAAGCAGAGATGGTGTGGGAGGTGAACAGTCTAGCTTTCTAGCCTTGCTGCAAGTAGTCTCTTGTCTACTCCGTTAGTCTCCGTCTCTCTCTTTTCTGTTATTAGTGACAACTATTTTAGAGATGACATTGTTCTGTGTCTTGTCATTTCTGTCTAAAAAAGTAATTTATTAAAGTCTGGCTTCATTCAGTGACCTTCTTTGTCAGGGTTATTTACCATGGTCCTTGTGAGGTCCACTTCACTTAGCTGATAATCATCAGGACAATAAATGTCTGAAACAATTTTTGTGACAGCACAGATGTTTCTATTTAAGATATCGGATGATACTGATATTGCTACAATGGCAGGGGGGGGGGCAGAGGAAAATATCGACCTAACAACTTTGTGTAAATGGATCACCATAAAAGTACTAGGAGGGACAGTAAGGGGACAACACTGCTTACATCTCATCTGTTTTGTCTACAGTGGAAACAATATTTGTATATTATATCCACCTTATTACTCGGACCATTTCATAATTGATTAACTCTTTTTGGAGCACCTAAAACTTTCCAGTTTTAAAAATGCTTGGCAATACCAGTTGGCAAGCTAAATTATTAAGTATCAGTTAACGATATTGAGAAAATATTCTGAGTGTATATTTTTAAGAGCATGCCAAACTTTTATTTTTTTGGCATCAATGTTCACAGAACAAAAATTCTGACACTAAAAAAAAAAAAAGATATAACAAAAAATTAATAGATATAACAATAAAATAATAATAATGATGGTAATAATAAATAATAATAATAATAATAATAATAATAATAATGATGGTAATAATAGTAATAATAATAACAATAATGGTAATAATAATAATGATGGTAATAATAGTAATAATAATAATAATAATAATGGTAATAATAATAATGATGGTAATAATAGTAATAATAATAATAATAATGGTAATAATAATAATGATGTAATAATAATAATAATAATAATAATAATAATAAAATAATGATGGTAATAATAAATAATGATGGTAATGGTAATAATAATAATAAAATAATAATGGTAATAATAATAATGATGGTAATAATAGTAATAATAATAATGGTAATAATAATAATGATGGTAATAATAGTAATAATAATAATGGTAATAATAATAATGATGGTAATAATAGTAATAATAATAATAATAATGGTAATAATAATAACAATAATGATAATACTTCACTTATGCACGGTAAAATAAACTGCTATTCCTTGAATGACATAAAATAAATAAGACCAAGGTATATAGGTTTATTACAGTTAAACATTATTACAACAGGTAATGTTTGACCATGCAGCAGATGCATGCAAAAGACATGGGACTGTTCTTGTACCGCTGCTGCAACACAAATTTGTGAAGATGCGATGTGAAGAACACCTCAGAAGTACCAAACTTGTTTCACTTCTGAAGAATTTCAACATTTCAAGTATGGATGGTGCCATTATCAGGATCCATGAAAATTATTTTAAGCTAAGTACATTTATAAAATTAAAACATTTAAGAAATAAGAGATTATTTTATGCCACCTAAGTGAAGGATCATCAAAATTTT